AATAGCTTTATATCGGTCCAAAAATAATAACATTAGATAAATAAGGTGAGGCAGATAACATCAGCGTGCATAAGTGAAACTTTTACCTCGTCATCATTGAAATGTGATCCTTGCTACGAAGGATAACGACATCCTTCCTTTAATAACCGCATTCGCTTTACAGGCCTAAGTTGCCTGTATAAAATCGTAGTATTTCTACAAGAAACTTCGAAATTTTCTAAGTTAAATATTTGAAAACTGTAAGATCATTCATTATATGGATAAAGCCTAATTTTATTCCTAAACTTGGAAATAATCCCTGATAATAAGGAAACGTCAAAAGCGTTTTAATTTTCGTTTTGTTTTTTCAATTTTCTCGACAAACGAAATTGATAAGATAGTCACTGAATCCCCCATCCAAAAGAGCACCAATTGCCATTTTCTTCTCCCTTATTTGTTTTCGATTATGCCTAGGTGGCCTTAATACACACTTCAATGTGTTGACCTTTTTTTGTCTTGACGTGCTTTTTTTTTAAGTAAGAATTTCGTAGTTGTCTGGATTAGAGAGGTGCCCTTTAGTAGGGATGGCAACGATTTATCGATATATCATGCATATCGATATATTTCTACATACATCGAGTATATTTTTATCGATATATTTGTGTATAAATACTTGAAATATATCGATATATTTGTTGAAATGTATCGATATATTCGTTTTGTGTTTACGAAAAAATTAATTTACAAAAACTTGACCATAAATTTTTATTATTTATTATTGGATAAATAATTAAAAAATATCGCTGTCAGTGCGTCAAATTGGATTAGAGACTGCATATGTGGTATGACACATAGATATATGTATATAATTTTAATTGTGTCTACACCATGGTCCGTGGGTAAACCTAACTTATCATTTTAACTTCTGCTTTGGCATCTGCATCGGTACCTACGTTTCTGCGCACAATTTTCAAATACTTTTTTATGAAGACACCTTCCCCGGGAAAAAGTCGAAAAAGTTTTGTTTGGAAATGTTTTAATGCATTGGAAAAAGGAAAACAAGTGGCAACTTGTAAAACATGCTCGAAAGGCTTAAAAACTTTAATTTTTATAACCTTATTCTATTTTTTTTAACTACATAATAAGAATTATATAATTATTCAAGACTATGAGCATATTTTTGCCGTTACTAATATCGTGCTTTTCTCCAGTTGGGCTGGCTCATATGGATATTACAAAATAATCGTAATGTACCTCAAAGTAAATATATAGATATATTTTTCGCGATATATCGGTGAAGCCGATTTATTGACTTCGATATATCGGAAAACCTATATATCGATATATAAAGATGGCCATATCTACTCTTTAGTAAGGTGAATGCTGAAAGAGAGAATTGATAAAAATGACTTCGAGTAGCAGGGTAGTATGGAGCTAGAAAAATGCAGTCAGAAACGACACGTGACCCATGGACAGCAGATTATCCACTACCAACAGACCTGGATCTATCTGTGAAACATGCTGCTCGGGAATATGCAGATCTGAACTTGTACAATTCACCCTCAGATGAAGTCGGTGTCCTTGCCATAAAATATATAAAAAAATCTTCATATTTTATCGTTGTTTATTCAGTCTGAATATTAGTGAAATCGCNTCTTGTAAAAGCTTGAAAGATGTTACGTTGTCGCACTTGCTTACAGAAGTATTGATGATTCCCATGTACTTGGACCCGGCCATGACAGAATCTGTGGTTGTTCTGAGTCAGTCGAAAGTTGATAGGTATTTCTATCTGGGTTCTTCTTTTCATTGTTCAAATCAATTTTTTGGTTTCTGCAATCTACGCGGTAGATTTCCATTCTGCGTCCCAATTGTCCATCACTTTTTCAAGAAGTATCGTCATTTTGGGACTGGTTTCTTTCATGATTCTTTACCCAATCTAAATTTTCTTTTCCACTTTATTCATGGTTTGTTGGAAGCTGGAGCCCTCAGAGTGAATCCGGAGGCAACACTGGCTTTAGACGGTAGATACAGTTTTCCAATCTGAAATCATACCAATTGAACACTGGACGAGAAATAGAAAAACTAGGAACACATTCCAGGATTTTCTCTGATAGTCAGGCACCACCTAAGGCCTTGTTCTCATACGAGGTAAAGGGGCAAAAAAACGTATTGAATTGTATGGAATCCCTGTAGAAGGCAGTGAGACAGATTGCCTGACCATTGCATGGATCTGTGGGCATTCCGGACATTGCTTTCCCGTATACTCGGTGCACCTAGCCTTACCGCCGTATCGGACGTTTTGATTCTCAAGATGAGAGCTGACGCACCTCCACACACGAAAGGATGGTGTTACTGCCGCAGCATTTGTGTAGAGGCAGCTCAGCGCCGAGGGGCCAAGACAACCTCGCTCCCCGCTTGCCCAATCCGAGTGGTCGAGTCCGCATTAAGCATTGAACCGTATGCCGCGCGGGGGGCTAACCTAAGCCGAAATACATCAGCCTGGTCTCCCGTTGGCTCCCTAGATAGAGAAGGCCACTCTATCTCCCAGAGTAGTGGGGCTTCCCTAGCGTAGAAACTTCCGGATCCGCTCCGGCCGTGGTTTCGGTTAAAGTGGAATTGCTAACACCCCCTAGAGGAGACTGCCACGGTAAAAGCCGCCAATCGAGCACATTACGTACAACTGCGTGCACAGCACACTCGAATATGCGCAACCGATTCACTACCCATTTCCATCCGCCACTTCTCACGCATTCGGGGGATTCCGTCAGCGTAGTCAGAGCACCCCAACGCTATACGCTTCGATTGTCCGATCCTTCTTATCCCGTGAGGCCGGGTGAATAACGATGGTCATATGCAAATTTCGTGCGAAAGTCACAGGTAGAAGACAGTCTCTTCTCTAGGTACCCGCCAGGGGTCTCGCCACGGCCAACTACGAGTCCATTCCCAGTGTAACAGGGGCTGAAACTTAGAACATTTCAGTTACCCCGTAGTATAGATGGATATGCACCCTCCCTCGTCTATGCAGACAGTATCTGGTACCCTAACCCACGTGTGCCTCTGATAAAGCACTCGCCGCCTCATGCCGACCCGAGGCTGACACGACTACAGCTTGTGCTTTAGAGAGGTTGCCACGCCCTCAAGGCTAGACCATTATTTTGCGCCTGGACACCCCCTTGTAACCAAGAGTTGGGAGAGGTTGCAGGAAAGAATGAAGGAACCTGGATTGAGAAAGGGACGTGGATGATGACAAGATGCACACCTTTTCAGGGCCCCCAGCCTTATCCACATTGTACCACCCGTTGTCGTTGTAGACTTGCATTCGGGACAGAAGCAATGAAAAAGTAGACATATTGGAAAAACAAAGAAGCCAATATGAATTCTCTACGTCGCGATCTCTACCGTGGCCTAGCACTTTGCCACGAAAAAGGATACAACCAATGAGTCCTTTAAGAACCCAAACTTAAATGGGCAACTCCCCAGGCATGAGGCATGAAGAGATTCGTAAAAGATGTTTTTACTCTTGATTTTTGAGCTGTACAATGAAATTACTGCTTTGTCAAATCAAGCCCCTTCAGCAAAGCAGTTAACTTTTAGTGAATTGAAGGTTCAAATTTTATAATTTATATTTAATTAACTGGTAGGGAAAAATAATAGCAATGCCATGTGAGAGATTCCCTAGAGTTCTTTACGAGCGATTGAGATCACGTGAATATGTAATTCGTGTAAAGTACAATTTGGCTGCTTAACTTACTTAACGGCATGGTTTTCATGAAAAAACCAGTTCAATCCTTAGAGCCAATTTTAAGGTCATCATCAGAGCAAAACATTCTTAAATATGTCTACCATATTGTCATACCTACAATTTTTTTATTCTTAAGGTGATCTTAAATAGGTGGAAAAGGTTGGCAGAAACAATTCAACGTTTAAATAAAACTCTCTGGTCCGTCAATACTCGCTTTTAGTCTGCCGATCCATTATTCAAGGCACTCTCGACTCAACGACATGCCACACTTTTATTTATATATTTTTTTATTTATTTACGGATTATTAATCCTTTAACATACAATTTATATAAACCAATATAAAATGTAACATAAGCCAAGAACAAAAAAAATATATAAACTTTTTGAAAAACAAAATAACTGCGCACAGTACCAAACAAATTACTGGCTTATAAGCAAAATATAAAATATAAATGTACTTCTCAGAAAGATNCTAAAATTTTCTAGCATTGTATAAATTCATTTTATTTATTTAATCTAAAATTTCTAGCAATGTATAAATTCATTTTTTCACATCCTACATGTATTTGTATAATTTAAACAATGTTTATAAATCCCAGGTCCTGAAGATGATCTCCATAAAGATCGAAACGTTGGCACGATAAAGAAAATGTTTTTGTAAACCCTACGTCACACCAGACCGCATCTCAGATCTCCGAATAATCATTGACTAACGGTCACTAAACACCACACATGTCTTGTAATATAAAAATAGAAGATTTTTCTCGCACCATGAGTTGAGATGAGTGAAACAGGTCTGTACAGACTCAGCATCAAGTGTATTGTTAACAGCACGAAACAACTTTAGATCATCAGCCAATAGCAAAACAAACATCCTCTGTAAAATACTTCAAGAACGTCATTAAAAAAAACTTTTGCCTAGTATGTTGTAAATATGAATTGTACAATTGTTTTGATGTAAACCTTCTGACAACGTGTTTATACGAACTTTATATGCTAAGGAGAACAAAATCATTACGTTATAAAGTAGCATAAAATTTTGGCATTGCATTGACTCTACCTTTTAGCCTTTATTTCTTTTCAAGCTGTGAAACCAGAACTTTCGCGGAAGTTCTTGTTCATGATTCCCCTGTGTTAAAGTGTCGGAAAACCGATAAACATCACTCCAGGTATACTGATAGCCGGATTAAACTAATCGGTGAATGAAAGTAGGGATGAGCCCCGAGTCGTAGGTGGGGTGCGCTCCGGGTTGTAAAGTGGGAGAGTTGTGTTTGTTCTTTGTTGTCTGTCAGTCTCGTGTTGGGTGCAGTGTTGAGAACATGCCATGAGCCGAGCCGGTTGTTGGGACAGGTGTGTCCAATGGGGCGATCTTTTGGGACCACGAACGGAACATCCTCAGCCGAAGGCAAACGGACACCTAAACAGTGAGTACTGTCAAGTTGATCAATTCCTGCTTAATACAAAGAAATAGTATTCGTGCTAATTTTTGCACTAACTTGAAAAACTGTTAGACTATGAAAACAGAGTTTTCACTACACACATAGATCGGCAAATATTTAAATTAAGCTATGGTACGATTGTTTAAAGACAACAACTTTTTCAACCAAAATTGGTACAAATAATGAAAAACAGAACTGCAAATCTCTACCTACTAAAGAAACTTCATTTTCATTAGTCACGCTTACCAAATTGCTTATGGTTTATCCAAGTTTATTACACAAAAAAATCATCAGCTGATCCAGACATTTTTAGCATATTCGACCGAAAATTGGCCCACATAATAAATATTTAGCCTTTTTATATTTAATAGTTGTAATTTTAATTTAATAGTTGTCACAGATAATACAGTGGTTAAGCATAGGCGTTGATAGCAGTGTGCTGAATGTCGGATTACCCGGGATCGTTTTTTCCTTCTTAGTTTTTTTCCAAAGAAGTTTTCAGCAGAAGACTCAGTAGAATAAAATTACTTATCGCAAAGTTTTCCTCCCAATTGTTTTACTTTTATTGTATTCTGATATTATATTACTTATAAATCATAAGAAGGGGGTTGAGATGGGAAGTTAGTGTCCGAGTGGATCAGAGCCACGATAGATCAAGTGGCAGAGTAGCGGCGTATCTAGCCGAAGGTCGTGGGTTCGAATCACGCTCATGACACTAACTTTTTTATCCCAACTGAAAAACTTAATTAATTGAAAAAATTTAATTGGTCAAGCGGACCATGAAAACTAGTGAATAAATCATAAGCTTGTTACCAATGGATTTTTCAGTTTCGCGGTCTGCGGGTTGACGATCTATTGACAGCAGTTGTCACCAGTTTGTCAGACTTAACTGAACTTGTGTTCCTGGTTAGACGTGTTTATGTTTTACATTGTTTTGATCAAAAGTCTTTATAAAAAATATGCATAGTCTATTTTGCTTTGTTACATATAATTATTTTCTTGCTGTTTTTCAGCAGAATGGTGGATAAGCAGAATTGAAGTTTGGCAATGAAAGTGCTGAAATGTTTGCTAGTAGTTTTTCTTATATTTTTAATTTTTTGCATATTAATATACTATTCAAAATAAATGTGTTTAGTCGATTGTCAAGTTTATTTATTTTATTACTTTTTGGTTAGATAGATGACGACCTGCTGACTGCACTTGCTATACGTTTGTAGAAATATCTGAACTTGAGTTTCCTTGATAAACATGGTTCTTTTCTATGCTGTTTTTAGAATAAAAAAACTTTAAACGAGATATGCCAAGATTCGTATTTTTTTGCGTACATTTCTCCTCATGATGTTTTTCAGCCAAATGTTGTATAAGCAGAATTGAAATTTAACAATAAAAACTCCAGTCAATTTGCTAGTAATTTGTCTCACATTTTAAATTTTTTGGTATATTTTTGGTATTTTCTTCAAAACAAATATTGAGTTTAGACAGCTGCCAAGTAAATTTATAAAATTATTTATTGGCCTGAAAGTTGACAGCAGTTATAAGCAATTTATCAGGTTTAACTGAACTCGTGTTCCATATAAAATAATAGTTTTTTATCCTTTGTTATCCCATTATGTTCTTGCCATTTTTGAACAGAAGGGTGCAAAAGTAGAATTGCAGTTTGACAATGAAACGATTTGACATATTTGCTAAGAATTGGTCTTACATTTTAAATTCGTTTGTACATTGATGTTCAATCGAGTGTAGATATCGTGCTTGGGAAACTGCCAATTAAATTTTTGAATCTACTTCTTGTTCTTACTGTTGAACTGCTCCTGACAAGAGTAGCTGCAATTTGTCAGATTTGTTTAAACTCGAGTTGCCTGGTTTGAACGTTTCTGTTCTATGCTGTTTTTAGCAAAAGAGTGTCTAAATGACAATATGCCAAAGCTCGAATTACTTTCTTAGATACAATTCTGCAGAAGGTGGCACAAGCATAATTGAAGATTGGTAATGACAACAATTGAGAGATATTCTGTGAATTGTCTTAAATTTTCAATTTTGTATATGCATGCATGCAAAACATTTTTCTCAACGTAGTCAACTGCTATTTTTTTTTAACTTGTTGCTTGGTCTGGTAATTGAGGAGTGGTTTCTGCAGTTGCTGCTCGTTTGTCAAATTTAAAGGAAGTTGTATTTCTTTCCAGGTTTGACACCTTTACACTCTGTTGTACTTTCAGTAAAAGACTATCTATAAAATAATAGTCTTCTTGTTATCCTTTGTTAGATACAATTCTGCTCTTTGTTATTTGCAGCGGAACGCTGCATATTGGCATAATCAGAATTGAAGTTCGGTAATGAAAACTATTGAGATATTTTTTATTAAAACCAATATGGTATTTAGCCAACTAGCCAGTTAATTATTAAAATTATTTTTGATCTGATAGTACAATACTATCCATTCTGTTCGTCGTTTGTTAGATATATCCTATTTTCAAAAATTGGTCAACTTAATAAACTTCCAGTTGAATTTTGGAAGTAAATTCTGTGCCTGACAGTTAATACCAATTGCTGCACGTTTGTTAGGTTTTTGGTTTTGTGTTTCCTGATCAGACACTTTTCAGCACTACCTTTTAACAATATAGTGCATAAAATGCCTAGTTTCATATTCTTACATTAAATTCTGGACTACCCTGTTTTTCAACACTGGAAGAAAATAAATCAACCCGGGGAATTCAGTAAAATAAAATCTGCTGCATAAAATTGTGTTTCTTTTTCATGATTTTATGTTCATTGACAATGTTCTATGACAACAAAATAATTCTCGGCATAGTAATCTGTCAGTTTGTTGAGAAGTTGTAGTCTGCGAGTTGTGTTGTTGACAGTAGCTGGAGAATATTTATCCGTTTTGATCTGATTGACTAAACGATGAAAACTAAGTACTAGAACGAACTATTCAAAAGCATTTACAATTTTATATTAATTTTGAATTACTGGTTCTATAAAACATGAAATGTTGACAAGACTTACAGAACATTTGATATTTATTAAATCCATTAAATTTCGTGGTCCGATTGACCAGATAACTTCTTTCAATTAACTAATCTTAATGGAAGGTATTGATTGAGATAAAAAAAGTCAGGGCCGCGAGCGGGATTCGAACCCACGACCTTCGGCTAAATACGCCCCTGCTCTACCTCTTGAGCTATCGTTTCTTCCATCCATTCGAAAGGCGGGGTTGAGATGGGAAGCTGGTGTCCCAGTGGATCGAAGCCACGATAGGTCAAGAGGTAGAGCAACAGCGTATTTAGCCGAAGGTCGTGGGTTCGAATCCCGCTCGAGACCCTACTTTTTTATCTCAATCAATACCTTACATTAAGATTAGATAATTTTAAATTTATGTTCTTCTGCCATGCTTCGGCTGAATGAGTACGGAAGAACATATTAGAGTGTTAATAAGTTGTAACATAAATAAGGAATAAACATATTTGAAGAATACACACCGCAGGAAAACAGTCGTAACTGACTTGTCTGCCTGTTTACATTTATCGACCATGTGCCGAATAATAATAGTTCAATTAGAATTCAAGTTGTTTTGAAGGAAGAATAAATTCGGCGATTAGATGCCACCTCGTGTACATCCCACCTTATGCTTCCGTCACTTTCACACGATTATGGGAAAAAGTTTGATGCCGTGAGTCAAGAGAACGTCCGTTTCTTCCGTCTAACAACCTGCTAACACGATTACCATTTACCGGGTCGCAGCCAGATCGACGACCGTTAGCTTATAGGTCAATCGATGTCAATTATCCGGTTGATTCAAAGCGGGCTTTTGTCATAATCGTAAATACCCGAATGCCCAACGTTCCCCTCCCGGGGTCAAAAAGAGATAAACGGCCGGTTAGGTGACATTGATAAAAAGAAAGCCTTGTCGGAACTGACCTGATGAAGGGATGACATTATCTGTACAACGACCCTTGAGATAGTGCAGTTTCACCTGATCACGTCCGTTACGCGTCATAAATTACTCCTGAAAATCACAATTTAATGTTTAAAAATATAATATAAAAATAATCTATTATATTTCGTGGTACGATTGACCAAATAACTTCTTTCAATTCTTTAATCGTGTAAGGTATCGATTGAAATGAAAAAGTTAGTGTCACGAGCGGGATTCGAACCCACGACCTTCGGCTCAATATGCCGCTGCTCTAACCACTTGCGCTATGGTGGCCAAGGAGTTAGAGCAGCGGCGTATGAGCCGAAGGTCGTGGGCTCGAATCCCGCTCTTGGCAAAAATTTTTCATCTCAAGAAAAAACCTTTGATGTAAAGAATAATTAAACCACTTGAGCTATCGTGACACTGAAGACAGTGGGTTCGAATCCCGCTCGTGACACTAACTTTTTCATTTCAACCAATACCTTACATAAAGATGGTTTAATTGAAATAAACAATAATCTTAAACAAAAAACATCTATGTCAAGTGAAGTAAAAACCTATTGTGCTAAGTTGAACAACTTACAAGTGATAGAACATGTCCGATACTTGTGAGATTTCCTATTGTGGTCTGCGGGGTGATACTATTGTTTGATAGTTACCTGTCATAAAAGAAAACGCGTCCGAACCAAAAAAAAATCAGTGAGGATAGGCAGACCAAGATAGGTCATCAAACAATATGACATTATTTGTGTAAATTATTTTTAAAAGAACTTACTAGAAACCAACTAAAAACTATTTATAATAAATTGCCGACTTTTTTTAGCGAGACATAAGAAATTACAAGTTCCACTATGTGAGATTTGATTATTGCCAAATAAAATCTATACATGTCGATGTTCTTGTCTGGTGATCCGAGATGGTAGAAGCGGTCAACATTATACCATGCATCCATTAGACAGAGGTTTAATAGCCCGAGAGTCGACACGCAACAATTCCACCGATTACCTGGAAATTAAACCTAAAAAAAAAATAAAAAATAAAGCTGCTAACGAAATCCTTGAAGATGTGC